TTTTTTGTTGTTGTTTCTTTTTGCTTGTGCTCTCCCCCTCCCCTTCCCTTCCCCCCCTCCCCTCCCTCTCCCTCTGTGTGTAGGTCATGGGACAATTTCAGGCATCATTCCCCAGGAATCTCCCACCTTTTGTTTGAAGCAGGGTCTCATTGGTCTGAGCTCTCCATGTAGGCTGGGCTAACTGGCCAGTGAGCTGCCGGGATCCACCTGTCTCTACTCCCCATCTTGCCACCACTGAGATTACAGGTGTGCATCACATACCATCTTTTTACATGGCTCCGGAGGTTCAAACTCAGGGCCTCCTGCTTACAAGGCAAGCATTTTGCCAGCTGATCTGTTCCAGCAGGACCTCTTTGTGCTGCCTCAGAAGAAGCCCTAGAGGCCGTGTTTGCTGTACTCAGGGTTTTCAAAAGGAAAAGAACTGGTAGAATGAGTACACATACACACACATACATGTATACACATACACACGTGTACATACACACATGTACATTCATATGCGCACATACACATGCACATACACTATACACATGCACACACATATGTGCACATACACATATGCATACATACACATATATACAAACATGCATATATACACATGTACATACATACATAAACACACATATATACACATACATTTATATGCTTAAACACACATGCATACATATATTCATAAATAAAATAACCCTTTACACTTGTGTGTGTGTGTGTGAAGACGGTTTACTTGACCTGTTGACAGGATGAGGTCCAGGTAGCCAAGCACTGGCTGTCTTGTCGCAGTAATCTTGCTGGAGTGAGCCCTCTGACACCAGTGAGCGTGGAGGAGAGGAGATGCCGCCAGTGGACCAAAGCCAGGACAGCTGTGAAAGACTCTGATGCTGGGCCCAGTGTGTAGTTTCAGGGTGGGGCAGGCAACTGAAGCTTTACAGAAGCAGGCGTGGCCGTTGTGCAGGGCAACACCCATGGTATTGGCTGTTTCTCCAGGTCACTCTCTTAAAGGTAGCAAGCGAGGTCGCGCTAGGCAGGGCCAGCAGCGCTTTCAGCGAATCAGCAAATAAATCAATAAATCAGTATCTGATCACTGGTCTTTTCTGCCTAATTCTCCTTCCGTCTCACATCAGAGAGACCTAGTAGCCATTCAGCCCACAAGGATGGATGTCTGAGTGGTCCTAATCTGGCACTGAAGGCTTAGTCTTCGGGCCACATCAGAATCCAAAGCAGCTGGTTCTAATATTGGTGAAGGCATAGCACAGCAACAGGAACACAGACTTTTCGATGTAAGTGAGGCCAGCTAGCCAAAAGGAGTCTTCTTCTTCCATGTCCTTTTCCGTGGGCTGCCATCAGAAGGTGGCGCACGCCTTTCATCCCAGCACTCGGGAGGCAGAGGCAGGCGGATCTCTGTGAGTTCGAGGCCAGCCTGGTCTACAGAGCGAGTTCCAGGACAGCCAGGGATATGCAGAGAAACCCTGTCTTGAAAAAGCAAGAACAACAACAAAAGACTGACCATAACAACGCTCAGTGACTACTAACAAGCAAAACAACAACAGCAACAACAGCCTGCGTGGCCCAGGCTGGACTGGAATTCCTGGTCCTCTGCTGTAGACACCTAAGTGCTGGAACTACAGACTTGCATCACCCATCTGTAAGATGTGGAGTCCTGAAACATCTGGGGAGTAAGGTGAGATCCCCAATCACAGGGAGAAAAGAAAGCCTGCTACTTAGCAGTTTAGATGCCCGAGCCTTAAAAAGAGGCCAAACTGAGATGCTGTGATGTCCGTGTGACAGGGTCTAGAACTGCCAGAGAGACCAGCCTGTGGGCTCACCGCAAGGGACGGATTACCTGGTTCAGGGTTACTGAAGTGATGCGTGCGCCCATCATTCCCTGGCTGGAGTCCTGAGCTACATTAAACGGAGCGAGCAAAACAGCAGCATCCGTGTCACTGCTGCCTGACTGGGGATGCCAGGCGACCACCATGTCTGCCGCCATGCCTCTGAGGTGCTCCATGCCTTCCCACCTTAACGGATCCTGTCCCCCCGAATTGTAAGTGGAGATAAACCCTTTCTCCTCTGAGGTGCTCCTTGTCAGGCATTTGCTTACAGCAGTGAGAGACAAGACGCTGGGTTGATAAAGGCCAAACTCATGGCCAGGTGATGACTGCTTATTAGTGCTTTTCCTTGGCCTTACAAGCGAGACTACCTGGGGTCAGAAGGCCAGGAGAGCTGTCTCCGCCCCGCCCCGCCCCGCCCCGCCCCGCCCCGCCCCGCCCGCTGCAGCACTCCTCTGGGCAGCACAATAGCGCTGTCCCTGCGGGTCAGCCAGCGCTGAAGTTGTGAGCGAGCATGAGAGAGCTGCCCCCAATGCCGGTCTGACGTGTGGAAGCGTGGGTGAGGGAGAGAGGCTCCCCCTTACTCCTTGCCCCTTGCTGCCTGCAACAGGGAGCTGACCCTCCCCCTACCAGCTGCAGCACTCAAGAAAGCCGGCCCTGCGTCTTACCCGGGGGACAGAGCAGAGCTGACCCTGTCGGGAGAGGTGGGGTGAGCACGGGGGAGCTGCCCCGTTGCCCGTCTGTCAAGGGGTGGCATGGGCAGGGGAAAGATGTCCTCCTCCCACCCCCATCCCCACCCCTCACTTCCCACGCTGAGGCAGGTGTAAGAGCCGGCCCTGAGGTCGTGAGAGTGGGGGAGCTGCCCCTGCCCCTCATCGTCTGCAGCACTCGGGAGAGTGGCCTCACACCTCACCTGGACAACACAGCAGAGCTGACCCTGAAGGTGTACCAACCCCAGGATGCCAAAGCAGGAGAGCCGTCCCCACCCCTTGCTTATTAATGCAAGAGATGAACTCGCCAGGACAGTGCTGGAGAGCTCCGCCTGGTGGTGAAGACAGGGCTGGCAGGCCCAGAACCACAATAACATCCACCCCACCTGTGATCTGTGGGAGCACGCGGGGAGGAGCCGGTCCTGTGGACCCAGGGGGCAGCAGGATGCCCAGTGAGGACCAGTGTCAATGGTGCAGCAGAGACCGGGTCTCAAACCAGGCCCATGATTCTTTGCGGCTAATGCCTGCGCGTAAAGACGCATGGATAAAGGTGTTTTCTGTGTGACACACTGTGTTACACTGCAGCTTCCATGCCAAGATTTTCCCTTTCTTCCTCTTTTCTTCTTTTTTCTCTTTTGTTTTGTTTTACTCTGAGGGAGGGGTGGATCAGGAGTCATGATTTGAAAGACACAAAGAGTAAAAAAGGAAGTTTTTTTTTTTAAATTAAAAAGCAAGACTAAAGCAGGCATTGATGGTGATGCCTTTAACCTCAGCACTCACCAGGCAGAGGCAGGCGGATCTCTGTGAGTTCAAGGCCAGCCTGGTCTACAGAGTGAGTTCCAGGACAGCCAGGGCTACACAGTGAGACCCTGTCCTGAAAATAAACAAACAAACAAAGCAAGACTAATGTGGCTGGAAAGTCAACACAGTGGTTAAAGTGCTTGCTGCTCTTACAGAGGACCTGAGTTCAGTTCCCAGCACCCACACTGGGCAGCTCACAACTGTCTGTCAGTCCAGTCCTAGGGGATCTGATCCCCTCTTCTGGCCTACACACACAAAACAAAATAACAAACAAAAAATAACAAAACTAAGCCAGGGGGGTTGGGGGGAGGGCAGGGGAGGAGGGGAGGGAAACGGAGAGGGACCTGGGACTGACTTGTGAAGCAACCTTGTTTCTAATTTAAATTTAAATTTAAAAATAAATAAAAAAGAACATGCACAAGGTTCAGTTACAAAAAAAAATAACAAAACTAAGCCAGATATAGTGATCCAGGCCCGCACTCCCAGAACTTGGGAAAGGCAGGGAAATTCTAAGTTCTAGGACTGCCTGACAATTTAGCCCCTGTTTGAGTCCAAAAACCAAACAGACAAACAAAAATACCAACCCCACCCTCGAGTCTGTTAATTCCATCTCCAACGGCCCACAAACGAGATTTCTGCCCGCTCATAGCAATGGAGGCAAAAATCGGATGTCTGCCATAAAACATCGTACTGAAATAAAGGAGCCCGGGAAAAGAGATTGCTTGGGAGGCTCCCTAAGAGTAACAGTTCCCAACTGCGCCTGAAGAGGGCACCGTAGTCCAAGAGTTAAGTTCACCTCCCCCAAAATTCTTCTGAGTCTTCCCCTTTGCAGACTCCTCCCACCTTAACTACAGACACATGAGCAGGCGAGCACACACACACACACACACACACACACACCCCTAGTAAATTCTCTCCAGCCCCCAACTCCATCAATGAGCGTGCAATTTTTCCTGCAGTGGATTGTAAAAAAAAAAAAAAATGCTCTCTTTTGAATACCGAGCTGAGCTTTCAGGCTGGATTCTAAATGTCTTGTTTTGGAAACATTGAATGACAGCCACGTAGGATAACAGCCAGGGTTGGGGTCCTGTCACAATGTACACCATCTTTGGTTTGTGTGGGTCTCTCCTGAGCATGACTTCCCACCTGAAGCACTACGTTGGGGAAGGAAGTCTAAAGAACAATCTAGAGTCGCCCTCGTCCCTTGGCAGTGGTACCCATCACCCCTCCATCTATCGACTATCCTGCGAGTTGCAGGGGAAACCTTCAGAAGATGAAGAACGCAGGGGTTTATATCCTCAGGTAAGGGACTGGTGCTAGGGACACACTGATCCATTAACCAGGGTTGGCCCTTGCCAGCCATTCCTGAAGGGAGCCCCTATGTACAGACTCCTGTTTTCTCACTCAGCACTTATCCTAGTGGGTTGGCAGCTGCCCACTAAGAGACAGCCTTGAATGGAGCCTGCTTATTGACCAGCGTGGGCAGGCATTGTGGCCTCAAGCCCAGTGAGGTCAAGAGGTCAGACAGGCCATGCGAGGCAGCACGTAGGGCCCAACCCCCTCCCCCTCTGGTTTCCCAGATCCGATGCTTTGCTACCAAGTGGGGGGATAGAGCCAGGAAAGTTGGGGGGCACCCATGAAGACAGACAAGCCAGGAGCCATGTTGGTGATTTCAGCTGTTGCCAGTGGCATTTTAAGAGACACAAAACTTCAAACCCCTTCCCTCCCATGAAAGCTGAGTCAGTTGCCTTTTATCTTCAGGGTTCCATGCCCTCTACTGTCCACTAGGACATGGGGTCAGGGGAGAGAGAGCCCATGAGACCTGGAAAATTCATGCCTTGCCCCCTAAATTCTCTTTGTAGAGCCCCGAAGCTTGTCCTGTAGGGGCGCAGTTCCGCCAGAGCACTAACTGTGCTTCGATGTCTCGGTCCCTGAGTTCTAAGCCGGTCTCTGGGGGCTGCGTGTATAGTTCCATTGGAAGAGTGCCTGCCTAGAATGCACCAGCACAGCTTCCATCTCCCGCGCCCATAAGCGGGGCGGGGGTGGTGCACGCTTGCAATCCCAGCACTCAGGAAATGGAAGCAGGAAGATCAGGAGTCCAAAGTCATCCTTGGCTACATAGCAAGCTCCAGGCCAGCCTGGGCTATGTGGGACCTTCCTGTCTCAACCAAAACAAACAAATCCAAGATGGTTCTCTGAGTCTCTCCTGCTCGGGGCCTCAGGCCGGCCCAGGGACATCTTTAGATTTCAGAATGGAGCTCTGGAAAGTTCTTCTGGCCCCCCAGGAGATCACTGCTGGTGCTGGAGTGTCCGTAGGACAAGCTGGTGAGGAGAGTCACAACCCCTTTGATGAGGGTTGGGAGTGACAGAGGGTTGGCGTGACACAGGCGGTGATGGGGAGCGAGGTTGGTGGCTTCATCGCAGCGGTGGCTCACCTGTCCCCTCTCCTGCAGGCCTCCCCTGTGTACAGCTTCAGTTTGCCCCGGAGGAAGTTGGAGTAGACCCGGAAGAGTTTGCAGAAAGTATCCACCGTGAGTGTTCGGAGTGGAGCAGGAGGGGTAGCATCTGGAGGTAACAGCGATTCCTTCTGTCGAGAGAAAAGAGGGTGTCTGAGGACTGCAGACAGAGCGTGACATGGACAGATGGGGGTGGAGAGAGTCCTCAGGATCATGGGGGTGTGTGTACACACGTGTGGGTGTAGAGACCACAGGCATGCCTTCCTAGCCACTTTCCACTGACCAGATGTGCACCTGCAGTGCAGGGCCAGGAGCTCAGCATCCAGCCCCGGATCCTGAGAGCTGGACTCAAGGGCAGCTGTGGGACCTAATGTGGGTGCTGGGAACTGAGCTCTGGGAGGGCAGCAAGCACCTCCTGCATCTTTTTTTTTTTTTTTTTTTTTTTTTTTTGGTTTTTCGAGACAGGGTTTCTCTGTCCTGGAACTCACTTTGTAGACCAGGAAGCCTCGAACTCACAGAGATCCGCCTGCCTCTGCCTCCCGAGTGCTGGGATTAAAGGCGTGCGCCACCAACGCCCGGCTGCCTCCTGCATCTTTCACCGAACCTGGAGCTCACCGACTGAGCAGGACTGGCTGGCCAGTGAGTCCCAGGAATCTCCCAGCTCGGGGCTTACATGCGTGTTCCTCCTCAGCCACTTTTGGTTTGCTTGTTTTGGTTTGTTAACAGAAACGCTGGAGATTGAACTCACATTTGTGCAGCAAGCACGCCACCACCCCGCCTGGCAGCCTGAGCTCTCCGCATCCTTTGCTTTCTTGGTTTTTGTTTGGTTGTTTGGTTGCTTGGTTTTTCGAGACAGGGTTTCTCTGTGGCTTTGGAGGCTGTCCTGGCACTCGCTCTGTAGCCCAGGCTGGCCTTGAACTCACAGAGATCCGCCTGCCTCTGCCTCCAGAGTGCTGGGATTAAAGGCGTGCGCCACCAACGCCCGGCTATATCCTTTGCTTTAAATGTGTTATTACACCACTTCATTTATATATGCATGTGTACCACGGCACGTGAGTGGAGGTGAGAGACCAACTTGAGAGACCAGTCACGGTGTGACTTCTGGGGATATTAAACTCAGGGCATCAGGCTTGGTGGCAGGCCCCTTTACCCAGACTCAGCCCACAGTGTTCTTTAACGATTCCTGGCCCACCCTGTGCAAAGGGCCAGTGACAGAGCCCACACCTACTCACCTGGGCTCCCAGCACCCGGAGCAGGGAAGTCAGGCTGCGCAGGCCGCTGATGGCTTTGTCTATATGCAGCTGAAGCGTCTCTGGAGGTTGGGAGGAGTTGGCTAGCAGTGCCTGGCCCCGCAGGACAGCTTCTGAGAGCAGAGACAGGCCTTGCCAAGCTTCGACGGCCTGTTCTTCCACCTAGAGGAGGCAAAAGGTTTAGAAAGAGCCAGCCAGAGTCCTTCCCTGTGTCTCCCTGGCTATCGGACACCCTAGCGGCTAGGTGGACAGAACAGAAAAGCACACAGTAAGGCATGGGTGAGTGGGTGAATGGGTAGGTGGATGGACGGGTGGGTGGATGGACGGGTGGGTGGATGGACGGGTGGGTGGATGGACGGGTGGGTGGATGGACGGGTGGGTGGATGGACGGGTGGGTGGATGGACGGGTGGGTGGAAGGGTGGGTGGATGGACGGGTGGGTGGATGGACCGGTGGGTGGATGGACGGGTGGGTGGAAGGGTGGGTGGATGGACGGGTGGGTGGAAGGGTGGGTGGACGGGTGGAAGGGTGGGTGGGTGGACGGGTGGGTGGATGGACGGGTGGGTGGATGGACGGGTGGGTGGATGGACGGGTGGGTGGAAGGGTGGGTGGAAGGGTGGGTGGAAGGGTGGGTGGATGGGTGGGTGGGTGGAAGGGTGGGTGGAAGGGTGGGTGGACGGGTGGGTGGACGGGTGGGTGGACGGGTGGGTGGGTGGACGGGTGGATGGATGGGTGGACGGGTGGATGGACAGGTGGACGGGTGGATGGGTGGATGGACGGGTGGGTGGATGGACGGGTGGGTGGATGGACGGGTGGGTGGATGGACGGGTGGGTGGGTTGGTGGGTGGGTTAGCATGTCCCATCAGCCATTGTCTTTATCATTCTTTCTCCTACACTATCAAGGTGTCAGACTGAGACCCACCCACCTCTAGGAAGGAGAAAAAAGAAAAGAGAACTCACCGCCATTCTTTTCCAAGCATAGAAGTTGACTTTGGTATCTGGGACTGTAATATTCTCGCTCAGTCTGGGACCTTCTGCACAGCCCATCTAAAAGACACCGGGTCAAGACCCCCGAGGGTTTCACTCACAAAGGGCCAAGGAGACCCTCTTTGTCTTTGACTGTTGCTGGGCATGCTTTCTCACTTTCTTGTTTGGACAGAGTTTCGTGTCAGAATTTCAAGTCTCAGGCTGGCCTCAGCTCGAGGATCACCCCGAATCTCTGACCCTCCTACTGTACCTCCCAAGTACTAAGAGTGTAGGTTTGGGCCTCCACAAATGGCTCATGCAGTACTGGGGAATTGAACCCGGGGCTTCTTGCACACTAAGCAAGCACTCTACCAACCTGAGCCACAACCCTCTCCGATTCATCCCCGGGAGAGGGGGATGGGAGAGGGCTAGGGACAAACATCCCATCTTGACCCTAAAAGCAGTACTAGGAGGGAACTCGAACTCCTAGCTCCCCAAGAACCAGTGTCTTTCTTTTGTGGGGCCGGGAAGCTTACCGTGACGTTCTCTGCCTCCTTGGCCTCCAAGATGTACCTCTCCAGAACTCGGCTGTCGCAGATGAGGCGTGGGGGAGCGCAGAGGACTGGGAGGCCCAGGGGAAGCAGGAGCAAAGACAGCAAAAGCAGCAGGGTTGGACGTTCTAGAAGAAAGGCAGGCTGGGTGTGAGGCTGGGAGGGGAGGGCCGTGGGACGACCAGAGACCGGTTTGCACAGCGAGGCTCCTCTGCCCTTCCAGTCTCTGCTGACCCCGACCTTGCAACTGCTTAGGCTCTGCCTGAGTGGCCTTCATTCTATCTCCCGGCGCTGCACACCCCACCCCCCAAGCCACCGGCATCCACTTCTCGGCCAAACTTCACTGTGAGTGCGCGCCAGAGGCTGGCAGATCCTGAGAAGCTGGGGCTCCTGGACGCAGGTAATTCTTTCAGCAGCTCCTCGCCCACGGGGCAGCGCCTCGACTCCCTAAAACCCTAAGCTTCATCCCTGTTCTGGATCTCCCCCTTTTTGTCACTCACGGGAGGGCTCCCCAAACCCCGGAGTGCACGTGGAGGCTACCCCACCCCCTCTCTCTTCCTTGATCCTTGGCGAGTCGCAGGTCCTTGTACAGGGCCACTTCCTGGCCAATAGCTTCAAATGTAAATCCTTGCTCAAACAGGAGCCCCAGAGGTCACAGGTCCCTAGCCTGTGCATACTCACCGGGCACCCCCATCTCCGCGCCTGGCTGCCGGGCCCTCTTAGTGACCCGGGGCTGGGCCAGTGTCCACGCTGCTAGTCTTCATCCTTAGAAGATCCCTGGGACCAGGTCACCCCACTCGCCTGAAAGAAGGTGGTCACCGTTCAGGGAGCAGGGGCAGCGTGGGGACGCAGTGGCCCCCGGCCACCGGTCTGTTCGGGAACACAGCAAGACGGAGCCACCGGCCAGGCTTGGTCCGGGGACACTGTGGCTCCGGTCGGGGGTCGGGGATGTTATCAGCATGTGTGCGTGCGCGGGTGGGGGTGGGGGTGAGGCTGTGTGTGCGTGAGGGGTCGCCAGGGGTGGGGGCCACCTGGGGTCAGAGCAAGGGGCAGGACGCCTGGGTCTGGGGCTGGCTGGGGTGGAGCGGGCTGTTCCAGGCACGCACGCTGTCAGGGGGGTCTCCCTTGGGGGGGTGGACAGATTCTGATTTCCAGGAGGGGAGCCCAGTGGGGTGCACGTCTGTGAGATGTGCGGGAAGCCTAGACTGAAGCGCGGAGCTGATCTATGAATGGCTGGGCACCGGATCGCGTCCTCTGGGGGGCGTCCTTATCTCGGGACAGGGATTTTATCAGAAACACCTAGGGCTGGAGTCTGGAAGCAACCCAAGTGCTTCCTCTCCTTATGACTTGCTCTAAAAGCCAGAGTTGTCCCTGCTGAGGAATCAGACGCAAGCGAGAAAGGGCTGTGGGGTTCCCCCTCTCACTCCTCGTTTTCTAGGACCCTAAAAATCCAGAAAGGTAACTTTCAGGACAGAAAGCCTGTGGCATGTTGCTGAGGACACGTGGGCTTGTTGATACTGGGTTCTTGCTTTTGTTTTTGCAGTGCTAAGGCCCGAACCCATTCTTTACATTAGGCAAATGCTCTGTAACCGAGCTCCCATGTCCTTATTGAGGGACTCCAGGCAATCACTCCAGGCTAAACCACACCTCCAGCCCCTCACTGGGGGATTCTAGGCAGGTGCTCTACCACTGAGCCACACCCCAGCCCCTAACTGGGGGATTCTAGGTAATTGCTCTACAGGTAAGTCAGGTCCCCAGAACTAACATCTGCTTTGTGCAAGACCCTTATTCACTTTGCAAGATAAAAAAGATGCATTAACACCTAAGTCCTGCCCTTGCCGTAAACAGCAAGACAAGCTCTGTTCTGTATGTGACTGGCGTGTGCAGATCTGAGATGGTAAGAGCTCAGTAAGGGTGAGCAAGCTCATGTCCGACTGGGAAAGTTGAGGCAGCCTGGATGGCAGAGATCACTAGGAGCTCAGACTTGAGGATTGAACGGTCTGCCTGGAAAGTGTCCTGAGGCCTGTGGAAGGGGACTCAGGTGTGTCAGGACGGAGGGAGGGATGAGGACATCAGGCCATGGCGCTCCCAGGGAGGACTCGGGTTGTAGAACGGCCTTGAAAGCTATCCTGAATAACTTGGGCTTTTTTTTTTTTTAAGAGAGGGAAATTTCATTCATTCTTTCAGGAAATTTCTAAATTCTGGTGCGGTGGTGTCCTCCTGTCATCCCAGCTCTTAGGAGGCTGAGGCCAGCCTGGGCTACATATTGAGGCTCTACCTCAAAAGATAAAGGAGGGTTAGAGAGATGACTCAGGGGTTAAGAGCATACGTTACTCTTGCTGAGGACCCAGGTTCTATTCCCAGCATCCATGTGGTGGTTCACAACCATCCATAACCCCAGTTCCAAGAAATCTGATGCCGTCTTCTGACCTCTGTGGGCACCCGGCACACATATGGTACACATACATACGTGTAGGCAACACACCCTCACGTAAAACAAAACATATAAATCTGATCTTAAAGTGTGAAGTTAAGGCTGGCCTACAGGACAGGCTCCAAAGCTACACGGAGAAACCCTGGGGCCGGGAGGGGGGGGTAAAGACAAAAGCAATGTCTGTGGAATATATACCACCGACTGGGAAGGAGCCTGGCACCCAGCCATGAAGGACACAGTCAGGAATGCCTGCCCTGGTGACACTCTAGCGGGGAGGGACGGACGGTGCACAGAGGCCTTAGATGGCATTAAGAGCCAAGTGGAGGAGGCCGGAGAGATGACTGTGGGTTAAGAGCACGCGCTGCTGTTGCAGGGGGCCCAGGTTCGGTCGCTGGCAACCTTGTGGCAACTAATAACTATGTGTAAACTCCAGATTCAAAGACTCTGGTTCCTCCTTCTGGACCCTGCAGGTACTGCACACACATGGTGTGCAAACACCCAGGTAAAGTGCCCATACATATAAATTCAAAACAAATAATCTTTAATGTATGATGATTATACAATATGCAAATATATATATATGAATAAGGGGAGGAAGCTGAGGAAATGACTTAGTGATTGTTTGTTTCGTATATATGAAGACCTGATTTCGAGTCCCCAGTACCCACACTAAAGGCTGCCCAAGGAGGCATGTGACTGTCACCCTTGGGCTGGGAGGTGGGAACTGGAGGGACCCTGGATGCACTGGACAGCTAGTCCAGCTAAATCATTAAGTCCCGGTTCACTAAGACCCTGTCTCAAAAACTAAGGTGGGGGACCAGGGACATGACGGTGCCCTGGGTAACAGTACTCGCCACAAGTCTGCTGCCTGAGTTTGAGCTCTGAGACCCACATTGTGGAAGTAGAGAAACAGCCGCTGCGAGCCGTCCTCTGACTGCCACAGGGGTACCATGTGGCGGTCACACCCATGGACGTGCACACAGTCAGTTACAGTAGCAAAACGGAGGAGCAACTGAGCAAGACATCCCAAACATACATGCCCCAGCACACACACACACATGTGTACACACACACACACACACACACACACACACACACACGCCTAAGGAGGAGAGACTCAGAAGGCGCACCAGGAAGTGGCAGTTGTCAATAAGCAGTCGGGGCTGCCAGGCTGTCCCTGGGACGCGCCTGGTAGGGGGGAGAAGGCAGCTGCGGGGTTTGGCTGGGGAGAGCATGATCAAGACAAGGTGTGGAGAGATGAAGATGGTGTGTGAAGATGGGGGGCATGGGGCGGCTCTGGTGAGCTGACTGGAAGTCACATGAGCATGACCCCGCTGCCTCTGGGCTGTCTCTCTGTCACTCTGGGCCTTCTCAGAGTTTCTTCCTGAACCTGCCATCCAGGCTCAGCACTCAGAACCCAGCTCTGCTCCCCAACCGTGGCTCAGCTGTGAGACAGACTCTGAACACACGTTCACACACGTCCGCCTGTGAGCTGTCCCGACCACCGCACCCCTCCCAACAGGCTGCTCTTTCCAGGGCCCCTGACTCCTGCGTCACTGCTCTGACCTATCTACTGGAGGAGAAAGGGCAGGGGGGACGACGTGACCTGACATGGCCTGAGTCTCAGAAGGAGGAGCCTTTGGGGCTGTAGGGCCTGTCCCTTCTCTCCCAGTAACTCCACAGAGAACCCTAGAAGAGGGACCAGGCCACCAGCTTCTATATGCTGGAGACAGCAGGACCGTGTGGCCTGTCCACTGGGGTTTTGGAGAGAGAGAGAGAGAGAGAGAGAGAGAGAGAGAGAGAGAGAGAGAGAGAGACAGACAGACAGAGACAGACAGAGACAGAGACAGAGAGAGACAGAGAGACAGAGAGAGACAGAGAAACAGAGAGAGAGAGAGAGAGAGAGCTACCACTGTATTTGTGGGGAAAGAGAGAGAGGACAGGTCGGTCCATGACACACCTGATCCTAACGCCACACGATCTCCCCTGGGTGTTGGCTGAGGGGCTCTGGGAACCCAACCAGTTCAAATGCATGGTATACTGCCAAACACAGTCTGTGCACCTGAAGACAGGTGACTCTGAGGGACAGGAAGGAAAACGGGAGGCCGCCAACCCAGTGTGCTGGCACCCACCTACAATCCTAGCACTTGAGAGGAAGAGGCAGGAGGATCACAGTGAGCTCCAGGCAGCCTGGGTCACAAAGCATGTTCTGGGCTTCACAGCAAGATCTGTCTCGAAGCTACAACCAAAGCAGCCGGGGTACGGTAGGTGCACCTGTCACCCCAGGCAAGAAGGACCAAGAGTCTAAGGCCATCTTCTGATATGCAGTAAACTGGAGACTAGCCTGGGCTACATGAGACCCTCTCAAGAAGAGAACGAGATAAGAGAAGGCAAAACAAATTCTCTATAGCTCCCCGCACCAAAGTCTGTCCCCTGTCTTCCCGCGTGTCCAGCCTGCTTATATCCTGCCGCGTGGTTTGTCACTGAGAACTCATCACTACGGAGAACCCCAAAGCCCTGGCATTTCCTTCCTGACCCTGCTACTCCATTAATTTTCCCGCTGAACAGTCTAGTTCACATCATGAACCTGAACAAGGATCTTTTTACCTTCTGTTGTTGTGTGAAACAAGGTCTCATACATCCCAGGCTGGCCTTGAACCCGGGTTCCTCCTGCTTCTTCCTAAGCTCTAGTTAGCATCGTAACCATGCACCATCGCGCCCCGTCTATGGGATGCTAAAGATGGACAAGGCTTTGTGCATGCTGGGCAAGCACTCCACCTACCGAGTCACAGCCCTGTCTCCCTCGAGCAGGGAACCGCACAGGTTTCCCACACCGCCCAGCAAGATCACCCGCGCCTGTCACACCGCCCTTATTACATGTATTTATTTGGTGTGTATGTGTGTGTGTGTGTGCAGGGGTATGCTCACGTGTGCCACGGCATAGGTGTAGAGGTCACAGGACAACTGACAAGCCCTGGATCTCCCCTTCCGCCTCGTAGGCCCCGGGGGTTGAAGGCCAGCTGAGTCCTCTCACCAGCCCCACGCTGTGACCCCCGCCAGAGGCGCTGGGTTAGATGACCCGTGGGGCCCCGTTTTCCACGGCTGTTTCCACCAGGCTTGCCCTCCGCACTCCGTTTCCCTCTTTTCTTCAGACCCCATCAGGCCTCTCCTCCACACAGCCTTTCCGCACACCCAAGCGGGAAGTTGTCATCCCTTGTGTGCATGTGTTAGGTTTTACCACGCCAGGGCCACCGTACGCA